CGCTTATATCCAGTCCCATACATACACCCTGAGAACTCATGCTCACTGATTATCAAGATACAATCTTTAAACCTAATCTCCAAATGTTGTTAAGGAGGGAACTGACCTTCTATCTAGTCATATTAATGTCAAACATTTGATAGATTATATTCTTTTTTCTGTGTTCAGCTCCATTTGGTAAGCGAGGGTGGAAGATGTTCTACTGTACATTGCGTGATTTGGTGCTATACCTGCATAAAGATGAGCATGGCTTCCGGAAAAATGCATTGAGTGATAATCTACACAATGCCATCCGGATTCATCATGCTTTGGCCACAAAAGCATCTGACTACACCAAGAAACAACATGTGTTTCGGTTGCAGACAGCAGATCAAGCAGAATACCTCTTCCAAACAAGGTAAATGGTAATTTTATATTCAAGTTTTCTAGGGCAGTCAGCCTTGCCAGTATGGAATGATTTTCCAGCATTTTGGTGAGTGGGTCTGCCTCCATCATCAGAAATTGATAGAGCTCACCAAATGGAATTGAATTGCTGTGAAAACTTAAGATTGTAAGTTTGCAAGATTCTGCAACATTTCTTGTTTTCATAACATTTCAGCTTTCAGTATATTCCTTTCTGAGCAATTGCTGCTTGCAGCCATGGAGCTTTGAATCCTCTTGTGTGTGTGTGTGTGTGGAGATTAAGTGTTTTTTTTTATTGCTAGTGGGGTGGGACTAATTCTCTTGTACTGCGGCCACTTCCGGCCTATTGTACCAGCCCTAGATGATAGGTGAGGGTGATTGTGGAGCAATTGGTGGAATGAAGATTGGCAGGGGAAACCGAAGTACTCAGAGAAAACGTGCCCCAGCCCCTCTTTGTCCACCAGAAATCCCACTTGGCCAGACCCAGGATCAAACCCGGGCTACCACGATGGGAAGCCAGCGACTAACTGCTTGAACTATGGCGCGGTCGATTAAGTGGGTTGGAGTGAATGACATCAGCAGTTACTATGCTGCAACATTGTTATCTGCTCTACAGTGCTCAGTCCCACAGAAAAAAAGAGAATTATTTGTGCATGTACAAGGCTCATCCACAAAGTAAGTTTCCCTGGGGCCGTTTAGAGAAACAAAACACAATTTCATGGAAATATTTATTGCAACGGATACAGCAAGTGTTCAGCTATTTTTCAACATAATCGCCACCGGAATTGAGACATTTGTCATACCGTGGGACCAGCTTTTGAATACCTGTGTCATAGAAGTCCGCCGCCTGGGATTGGAACCACTGTGTGACAACCATCTCCGCCTCTCTGTCATTCTCAAAACGCTGATGCTCACCGGACAGGAATTTCTTGAGGTGTAGGAAAAGATGGAAATCACTGGGAGCGAGGTCCGGGCTGTAGGGTGGATGATTAAACACCTCCCAGCTGAACTCCTGCAGGAGACTTGCTGTCCATCGAGCCATGTGTGGCCCAGCGTTATCATGCAGGAAGACAATACCGGCACTAAGCATCCCGCGCCGCTTGTTCTGAATGGCCCGTCGCAATTTCTGCAGTGTTTCACAGTAACGCTCAGCATTCACCATCTCACCTCTGGTCAGGAAGTCGACGTGGAGAACGACCCGTCTGTCCCAGGATACCATGCACATCACTTTCCACGCCAACAGCGTGTGCTTGAATTTCGTCTTACAGGGAGATCCACTGTGACGCCAATGCATTGACTGCTGCTTGGTTTCTGGGGTAATGTGTGCAATCCACGTTTCATCACCTGTGATGATCCGGTCCAGAAACTCGTCGCCGTCGTCATGGTACCGCTGCAGAAATGTCAATGCTGATTCCATGCGCTTTGTTTTGTGTTCTGGTGTCAGTTGCTTCGGCACCCACCTGGCGCACAATTTCCTGAACAACAGATGCTCCATGACAATTTCGTGCAACAAGGAGCGGGAAATCTGCGGAACATGACTGCTGAGTTCCGCAATTGTGACACGACGATTCTCCATAATGCATTCCCGCACAAGCTCCACCAGGTCGTCTGTAATGATGGATGGCCGTCCACTGTGCTTCTCATCATGCACACTTTGTCGACCTGCTGTAAATTGTCTGCACCAGCAATGCACCATCTGCTTGCTCATGACGTTAGGCCCATAGACCCGGCACAGCTGACGATGACTTTTGATCGGCGCTATGCTCTGTGCATTCAAAAACTTTATCACTGACCGCACTTCACAGTCGGCAGGAGTTGGAATAAGAGCCTCCATCTTCAACAGCTGCAATGATGCTACTGTGGGAACGAGGGAAATTCCGCTAGTGCATGCGCCATGCTACGTCATTGCTCTATCACATACACACAGTCGCTTCGCGCAATATAAGGTTTGCTAGCTGTGGGACGAGTGGGAAACTTACTTTGTGGACGTGCTACGTATCTTAACCCTTTGTTAAATTAACCAGCCATAGTTTATAATATAATAAGGATGGCAACCATCTTGTCTAGAACATACACCAGATCTTGCCATTTGATTCAGCTTTTCTGTTAATAGCCTAGGAGAAGTAACTTATGTACTTGATTCACAGTGACTCAAAGGAACTTCAGTCTTGGATTGATACCATCAACTTTGTGTGTGCAAGTTTCTCAGCCCAGCCTCTTGCTGGCGCCGTTGGTTCACAGCGAAAGTTCCAGAGACCTCTGTTACCTTGTAGCCACACCAAGTTAAACTTGGTAAGTAAGCTGGAAGGTATGAGATAGCTCAGTCAGTATAGTGATTTGGTTAGAGACTGGTTCAGATCGTGGCAGGAACAGATTCTTCTGTTTATCTTGTCTACGCTAACTGTGGGGCTCACCCAGCTTTCTATCTGTTGGGTACCACGGACTTTTTCCCTGTGGATAAAAGAGTTGGGAAGTAAAGCTGACCAGTCCCATTTAGTGCCTGCATGAAAATGCATGGACCTCTACCTCTCACACTTACCTCTTCATAGCATAATCTTTAGTTAAGCAAAGGAGAACTTTGCCTTTATCATGAGCTGGGACAGTGCAGTTATTAATGTGGTTAGCCACAGAATGAAAGACTTGGGTTTGATATCTGGTATGTGTAGAATTTTTCTTTGTCCAAACTGTACTGTATTCGCAGCTCACCAGCAACCTGTACAGTAGGTGCCAAGATTATGTTGGGAGTGCCTGAAAAACTCAGAATGGAAGTAAACCTTACATTTCAGTGTGATTGTGTTGCATCTTTATCGTGTATAGTTTTTATACCTATTTTCATGTAATCACGCTTCTAGATTTGATATTTTTGTTGTTGTCCCTTTCTATGTGTATCACACAATATTTTTGCTGTAGCTTGTTACTTAGCTCTTGCGAAATGTTTTGTATTTGGATAAAGCTCACAGTAGGTCATCAATATGTTTAATATTCTCCAAACTTCATTATTATTTGGTTAAAATAATTTAAGATACCTTATGACTAAATAATATAAATTCAACCCTAGAGTTCCTTTCAGACCTAATATTACTGGTATTACTGACTTTTTGGACTTTTTCCATCGTCTGGAATTCTAGGTAATAGAGGACACTAGGTATGGAAGTCCAGAAACACAGTAATTCTGTGTGTCATCCACCATTGTCAGAACCCTTTAGAATCTGTGTGATTATTGGTGTTCGAAAATTTGATGAGAGCTCCTCTGGAATAAATAGCAGTCGATATTAATATTTTAATAAGCTGTATAGAAAGTATAATGAATATTGATGTGATTCAATTAAGATTTACATTGTATATCTATAAGATAGGCAACTGATATGTAAATGAACACTGAAAGTATATCAATTCAGTTTGGATTATTCCCAGTCATGAGGATTAGCTCTTTCTAACAGACCCAGCTGAGTAAGTGTCTCCTACTCCCTCACCGGAGGACAGAAACAGATCCAGTTTCCAGAACTTTTTGTTCATTAATGTTCTTTAGAATTCTAGACAATGGAAAAAGTAAAAAACCCATAAATCCCAATTATACACCATCATCGGACCCCTTTGGAATCTACTTATATGAATTCAACCTAGTTTAGAGGTATATCATAATACAGTGTTTAAATCAAAAACAACAAATATTTAATGATGTTAAGAAGACTTAAATTTCAATTGTTCTGCTCTAAGACTGCATTGACAACGAATGTCAAGCCCAGAAGGTGTGTAAATTCACAAAGAGTATTTTTGTGAAAAGTAAATTGACTCAAATCTGGAATGTACCTCCCTCATCTAGTTGCTTTATATTAGAACTAACACAACTGAAGTGTGTTCAGTGAAATTCTTCTGGCATTTTGCAATGTCTTCGGGAAATTTACTCCATAACTCAAGTACTGTTTGTTGCATTTCATCTCTTCCAAGATTCATTGGTCAGTGTTCCGACTTTTGGATATTACCAGATAATGAACTGTAGTACATTAATGGTGGTGATTTAAATTATTTGTATTTTTATTTATTCAAAAGCGAGACCAGTTATGCGACCATGAAGAACGAGTTCGAAGTTTGGAGGCTGAACTTGAAGGCCACCGACGACATCCACCTGAACGTGGTGCCAAGTCGCTCAGTATTCAAAATTATAAGGAGAAGGATGTGTACCTGCACTACGAAGTAAGAATACTGTAACGTGTTTTGCTACTGAAAACTGTTCAGATTGTTGATTGGTTTATTTAACAACCTACAAGTTGTAACTACAATTGATTATAACACTGTTGTGGGTTTAGGCAGTTTACAAATCCTACACACTAATTTATTCTATCTTCAGTAGTCTTCATGTATTTATAACGCAGGAGCTATACCAGTCTCTCTGAATTACACACTCCCAATATAACTTTACTACAACACACACAGAGTCTTGAAATCACACGATAAGTCTTCACTGGCTGACTTTCCAGTTATCGCACACTATCGCTGATTAACACGTGTTCGGTTCTTCTTCCCGCAACTGCTGCTATATTTCAGCTGACTTATAACATCTTCACGTTCACATTTCACTCACTACCACTGAACTCGGTGACTGCTACATTTCAACTGACTCCTTATGCATTCCAGTCTCCCTCATAAACCCTCAGTCGGACAGCGGAAAACCCACCTTGCTTCACTGTTGCATAAATGCCATGTTTACAGGCGTGCCTGGGGAACGCTGCCGAGAGTTGTTTATTACTGCGTAGTAACCGTGGTGTCCCCTGTTTCATCAGTGTGGGAAGTGCTGTTATGTCACCATGGTGGGGGGGGGGGAGTGTTTACTGGCCCTGTTACCATAGCAGCAGCTTCTATGCAGTTACATCACCGCAGGGGGCGGGTTACTGAGCATTGCACCGTCCATGTCACATTATATATATTTTAGTTACTTGAAAATGAGAGAACAGAATGGAATTATGGGCTTAGTTTGTGGTATTCAGCATTCTTTATATGGAGTATGGATTTGATACTAAGCTGAGGGAAATCTTAAATGCAAGTCATTTAATACTGAGATTATTTATTTGGGGTCTTCGAGATTAAATATTAGGTGGGGGGAAACCTTAAATCAGATGATGTTTAATGGGGGTTCCACTGTATTTGGTTGAGCAGCAAGATGTTAGTATACAGCACCAGCATGGATATGAACTCACAGTTCTGCACTGCTGCAAACCCTTGTTCTGTGAACTTGTGAGTGAATTCAATCATTCAGGTTATTTGAGCCTGACGTAATTTTGGACAGTGGCAGTAAAATGTCGAGAGGCTCCATTTTGTCACAAAATGTGGTCTTTGGTAAATTGGCATCCCCATCACTAACACCTCAAGAAATTATTGAGAACACATCGATACCAATTATATTTTAATTTGAACTTTTCTGACCAAATTGGAAGAAAAAGGGTATCTGTTTTGAAAAGAATGGTTTAGTTTGGGTTACCCTTAGACTATAAAATGAACATCAGTTCAGAATTTGTGAATAATTCTTTGTGCTTCAGACGCTAGACAATGTCCAGTGTAATTATTTCATGTTACTAAGATTTGTGGTTTCTGTTTTATATCTTGATAGTTACAGTGATGCGAAACGTGAGCATGCCTTCTGTCATATTGTTAAGAAGTTTGTGATTCTGTTTGATATCTCCACTGCATAAAAGCTACACACACCTTTGTCACATAGGCAAGACACTGAATGTGTCTCATGCCTTTACAGTTAAAACAGCATGAAATCTGCATACCAGCCATCGATTTGGGCAAGATGTTGATGGTTTCTGTTTGATTTCTCCACAGTTAAAGAGGTACAAAACCTATGCATATCTGCTGCGTTCCCGCATCTCTCAGTACCCGGAACTTGAAGCATCACTTGCGGAGACTTGCATCGGTGAGGTGGATGAGGGTGGTACAGTGACACTAAGGGAGACTGCAGTAGCAGTAGCAGCAGCAGTGGTAGGAGGTGATGGGGTTGGAATTATTTCTCCTGCAGTCCCCGACAGACGTGCCAGTCCCACCACCAATAGGTATAGTTACAGAGCCGCCATTTATAGTGGTGCAACAGGTGGCGCAGGCCTGAACCGTGACAATGGTGGGGATATAGGCTGACGGATGATGGGAGTATTCTCAGCATGTGTACTGTGATGGCTAAAATGTAACATGGAATATTTGGTTATTTTTTTAACTGTCACAGCTGTTTGCATATTTAAGTGATGTCACACTTTAATGATGAGGCCAAATTGAAGCTGTGGTTAAGTGTTCTGAAAAGAATAGTATTTTGAATATGAATGATCATCAGCAATAAATGCTGTTTTATGTATACCAGATTTTCCTATTTTGTATTAATTTAATGTTCATATGTAGATAATTGTAGCTACTCCTTAATTCGACTTAATTAGTTAAGGCTTTTTGAAACATAACTGTCTCAGGTAAAGTAATAAAAGTGGTAAACTGTTGTAGGCCAGAGCATTTTGTGTACTGGTACATTAACATATTAAACAGCAAGTACTGATTTGCTGCTCAGGAAGACTGGTACCTGGAAGGTAGGTTTAATTTCAGTATATATGTATAAAAAATTTGTGGGTCTATACATCCACTCCCCCCATACGTCTTCATGGCATAGTGTTTAATTGGTTAAGCACAGGGACAACTTTACATTTTTATATATGTAAAATTAACCTTGATATATATGTAACTTATTTTTTAAATTACTTTTATTAGTAATGAGGAAAATATTTGGATTTAAGGTGGAAGAAGTGACAGAAGACTGGAGAAAACTGGTTAATGGGGAGCTTCACACTCCATGCATTTTCTAAACTGTTGTTAGAATGATCAGGTCAAGCACAATTAGACAAGATATGTGGGAGATGGAAAGTGCAAAATTGTGATCAGGAAGCCTGAAAGGAAGAAACCACCTTGATGAATTATTGGTAAATTAGAGGATGATATTAAAGTGGATCTGAGAGATATAGGATGTGAGGATGTGGACTGGATTTATCTGGCCCAGAATAAGGACCACAGGCAAACTGTTGCGAACGTGGTAATGAACGTCTGAGTTCCATAAAAGTTGGGAGGTTCTTGACCAGCTGGTCAGCTGTTAGCTTCTCAAAATTACTTTCCTCCATCTAGCTTACTAGTTACTTAGTAATGAACATGTAAGAAATTGTGAATGTGAGCAATCATGTTTGATAATTATCTTCCTAGTTTGTTTAATGTCACGCTCCCAATGTATAGGTTATGTAGCCTCGAGTGAAAAGACAGTAGTAAATGCTTAATTGGGAAGGGACTGAGTAAAATCACAAAATTCTTAATGTGAATAGCTGCTGTCAGAGCTGAGAATCAAACCCAGGATCTCCCAGTTGCGGTAGAAATTCAAACCACCTAACTGCAGACTTTGGGATGTTGCAAGTAAATATCATAAATAGGAGAAACAAGATAATATGAGAGTTATGTCACCATATCATTGGTTATCTGTTATGGGGTGTATAATTTTTAAGTGGAATATGCTTGGTCCTCACTGTGTGAATGCTTGACTTATGAACAGCATAAGAACTTGTTAATTAAAATTTCTCGTGGCAGAATAGCTAGCTAGTAGTGCTTGGGGGAGGCAGTTTGAGGCTAGCAGCTACTGTGAGTCACTCATGCAGTAGAAGCTTGGGGCTCTTTACATTCAGCTTTTGCTCAGTAATTCCTTGGTTATTTCAGGTACTATATTGAGTGTTATGAATTTTGAATGACTGTGCATAGGAACAGGGCATTGGCACATCGCGCATTCATAAGTTGGGGGTCAGATGTGCTGACCTTCAGGATGTGATGCAGTGTACCCTGATAGAATTTCACTGATGTTTCAGGGGAACATGAGTACCTTGTCTGCTGCTTGCTTGACTTACTCTTTGACCCAGAAAATGGAAGCAGTTTATTTGTTCAAAATGTCAATAAAGCTGTGCCAGATTATACAGTGTCACATCCCACAAGAAATTACTCTTCATAATCACTGTTGTGAGACCCCCAGTTCCCTCATTTAAGTTATGTTTGCAGTAAACGGCAGTTACTTTATAGTCATAGGCTAGGCATCAGAAATGTATTTGTCTACTTGCCACAAGTGAGTTACCAGAAATCAATGGCGTAGAGTATCTGTGTTATGCATCCCTTGAGATTACAAGTTAATGGAATTTCATTGTCCCTTTAACTGCTACATTTTATATGTGCTTGTCAATCCTCATTGCTGTTTTTTTTTTACACTTTACATTATATTTTTTCTGTGCCACAAGAAGTTGCCAGAGGTGAATACTTGGAACAGGTGATATTTTATGCTACACTATATCCAGAAAACATCGTCAGTCCACTTACCTGCACTGGAGGGGAACAAAATCTGACATAAATAATTTCACATCTTTGGTATCATTACCACTGTCAGTGTCAGTTATTTATGAAGTTATCTGTAATGTCCTCCACAATTACATTACTTTCATCAGTGCAGAATCTGAATATTTGTTACATAACAGCAATAACTAGCTCAGTCTTCTTTGTCACAGTCTTTGCCCCTCTTGTATAAGTTCTTTCTGTCTGCAGTCATGTTTTGAAGTCTTATGTAGTCCTATATTTGATGCATGGCTAACTCACTGGGATTCAAGCCATGAGTAAAATGGCGGTCAGATTTCTGCATGACCATGTGCTGGAAACAGTACATCAGTGTGCTACACTTTCTCCTTAAGGTGGATTTTCTGAACTGCCTGTCCCACCTACATACACCCCACACCAACTTATGGCATGCCCATAATACCTGTGACCAGCATAGTACATTTGAGATTCACATAACTTTTTCATTATTTCCATAGAGTACATGGCGCTTTATCCAGTACCGCAGACTCGACTCTAAGATTGATCGATAAAGAAGCTAAATTGTATGATGAGGAAGCCAATATGTCAGTACTGCCTATAGCAGTGCTTCCCAGTAAGGACAGCTAGTAGATTTTATATTAGAGTAGCATAGTTAATTGAGGCAGTGTGATACAAGTGTGGGTTCAAATCCCAGTGAGGTGGATTTTTTCAATTTATCTAATTCTTCCACCCACACTGTGGTTATGGGGTCGACTCAGCCTCTAAAAGAAATGAGTACCAGGAATCTTCCTGAGGGGTAAAGGGCATCTGGAGCATAAGACTAACAGCCTTACTTCCATCTTTGAGCCAATTGTCTAGAAAATGTGGGGACCTCAACTTCTCACAACCCTGTGGACCTCCACGGCCTGTTTTTGTTTATTTGCACTTTATTTAATTATACTGTCAGTAACTCAGACGCTGTAGTGTCAAGTGAGTGGACACTAACAAATAATGAATTAGATTATGGAAGGCAGTAGTTGTGACCTAATTTAAGGGCTGGAGGAAGTGACAGAAAGTGTGAAAACTGTTAGTCAGGATACCTAACACCCTTGCCAAAGCTGAAACTTGACACCTTCCTAATACAAGTTTGAAGCTCTATAAATTGAGCCAACTTGCTCAGTATTCTTGTGACTCCTGTCTGCTATTTGTCAGTCACTAGAAATGCATTAACATTTTGTAGTTTCATCAGTGCAAAAATGTTGCTGGTCATTAATTTTTGCCACACTTGAATTCAGTGGTCATATGATTTGGAAATATCTGAGACAGTTTATTTGGAATGACCTTACATCCCAGACGAGTTCTGGGGCTGTCAGCTCTCCTGGATTTAAAATGTTGATCACTGTTAAATCATGGGATTTTTGTAGTGTAAACTGTGAATGCGGATGCAATGTGGAGGGTGAAACTGTAATATCACTTTCCCACACAACTTGAATATCATTCTAATTTCAGCAGTAGCAACACAGGTTGTGCAGAATTGTAAAATGGTATTGGTAGACAGTTTCATCAGATCATGCAGCAAAGTTTACTTTGTTGTCCCCTGTAGATGATTTGTAATTAGTGAGAAATATGGAATTAATAATTTTTATTTTGATAGCGTCCCTTTACTTTTAGCAGTGTGAGCAAGATAAGGTAACTGCATTTACAGAAGAAATAGACTTCATAGTGTGATATCATTTATATATGCAAAATGTGTCTTGCATATCTTGGGCATCTAGAGACTGAAGAAAAGCAGAAGGTATTAAAAGGTTGCAATCTGGGCTTGTGTAATTACTTTAACAACTAATTGATATTTGCAAGTTTATTCTATTGCATAAATCGAACTCCCTTTGCATCATCATTGAATATACTGCATGATTCATTTACATTAAAGGATAATTTCACTTATATGCTTTTGCTACAGAACTGATTTAGGTATTTGGATATAATAAATGATTACTTTTCTTAAGTGACAAAAATGTTATTTCATTACATATTGACATATCTTAGGTCAACTGAATATTGTAGTGTAATGATGGTGCAAATTGTGACCAAAATCTATGAGAGGAGACTTATAACTGTGCTTTTCTTCTATTCTTTGTGGGAAATAACTCTTTATGAAGCTTTATTCAGAAAAAAGGCAGCTATGTTGAGTATATTTATGCAACGTGTGATGGTTGTCATCTAATATGTGGCTACCAAAACGAGGTTTTTACTCTGAATAATGCTGCATTTTATGGTCTACAGTCACTTGCTGATAATCCTCCCTGCTACTACATATTATCTTTTGATGTGTATACAGTTGAATTACTCATTCTAAATGGTTTTGACAGTGTTTTATGCTTGGAATGGCTGAGTTTCTGGACATCATTTATAATCCAATATTCCAAAAGAACATGACGTTTCATAACTGATGCTGCATTTTCCCTCAGGTGAAAAGGTGGGGAGACATCTACATGGATAAGTCTTTTAGAAAGATCTGATATCAGTCATCATGATTGACATAAGCTCTTTCTAATGGACCCAAGTGAATAACCACCTCCCCGCCTTTTCGTCCAAGAGCAAAAACACATCCGGTTATCAAAATATCTTGTTCATTCAGAAGACTAGACAGTAGACAAAGTCCAGAAACTTAGTAATCCCAATTGCGGTACTGTCTAACGTCTAAAAT